CCCCCCCCCCAGGTGTTGCCTGCCCGATTATTGTCTCCCTTAAACTTACAGTGGTACGATCAAGTCTCAGAGAATCCTGTGGATCTCTTTTTCCTCCTTTTAATATGTAACTGTTGCCCAGAGAAAGATATCAGATTGTTTTTACTGACTTTGAGGTTAAGGTCCTGTGACTTCTAGTTACCACAATGTCATTTTGAATACTGTAACCTTCAACAGCAAAAAATGGCTTCCAGATACAAATGAAACAATTTTTAGGAATGCAGGATCTTTACACATGTAATTATCCAACATATTTGTCATCAATTCTCTCACTGCCAGGATCTTTTGATGCAAATGGGCATCAAGCAAATGGAGACAAGTGGAAAGCACAGATCACATATAAAGTAATAGCAGAAGTTGACAGACCTGGATCAGGAGAAGTTCTGAAGGTCAGATGTTGTCAAAAGAAAAGAAATTCACCAATTTGTCCACAGTCTTTTCTCAGTGTTGTTTAAATCATTCTTCACTGCTAATTTTATGTTGCAGTTACATGCATGTTGTATTTCTAAAGGGATTTTACAGTTAGGTATTTGAAGGAGAAAAGATTTACAATAAATTATTGTGAGTTACTGATGTTATAGAAGATTTTATGTGACGTATATCTAATGCTAAACCTCAGACTGTATCCTCATAAACGGGTGGTGAGTGGTAAATGGAGACTTTGCAAGAAGGTGGGACTAGTGTTTTTTTTTTCCTGAGCCTGAGACCTTTTTTGGGAGAGCGAGACTTCAAAGTGTTTTAAATGCAAGCTCCAGGTGTTTAGATTCTAAGACATTCAGACTTCACTTACATAGGACAGCAAAAAAAAAAAGACAGCATCTTTTTTTTTGAGCCTGAGACATTTTGATTTCTTCAATAAAATTATTGGGAGAGAGAGATTTCAAATTGTTTAACATGTAAATGCAAACTTGAGACATTCAGACTTCTAGGCGTTCAGACTTAATTATTAAAAGAAACGCAGACACGTCAGTATTTCATGACCTTTTTAGCCTTGCAAAAAACCTGTGACTTCAATACAGCTTTTTGAAAAAATTGAGACTGCGAGATGCACATAACCACTTAAACAACAAGACTGCAAGACCCATGAAATTTGACAAAAATTTTGCGAGATCCATGGTTTTTGCAGGACCATTCACCACCCCTTCATAACTTAGTCAGTAGAGAATAGGTTTGGTTAAAGTCACACTGAAGTTAGTTTTCAGTCTTAGTATAGTCAGTGCCCACCAGGAACTTATCACCCATTTGTCACTTCTGAAAGAAATAAGAGAGAGGAATGGTGTGTTAGACTAATTGTGAGGTCCAGGACAGGCTGGATCTCACATTGTGTTGTGTTCTTGGGCAAGACACTTTACCCTTTGAGTGCCTCTTTCCACTGAGGAAGATAAAATAAATAATATTATTGTTAAGACACCCTGACATAACACTGGGAAGGGGGGATCTTTGATAAATTAGAATCTTGTCCAAGGAGAGTAAAAGTATTCCAGACTGCTTCTTGCCAGATTCACAGCTGAATCTGAAAAGCGCCATTGGTTATGAGCAATCTTGGTTTACCTCTAGTTAATATCTTTTCTGATATCTATCCATTTCCTCAGGCTTCACAGTTCATCACTGTAAATGAACATCTTCCCCTGACATCAGTAGAACCTGAGGTCATGACAGAGCGCAGGACTGTCAAGATTTGTTGTTGCATCCCAAAGGGAGATGTTTTAGTGAATGTATGGTATGTCAACATGTTTTTGTTTTGTTTTACTCCAGTTCAGTGATGTTTGAACGTCTATAATATGATAACATTTCATATTGATGTTCTGGTATTATTTTTAAATGGAGTTTTCATGAGTGTGGTAAAACCAAAACCAAACTGATTACTTACCAAATTGAATTAGACTACTCAGCCACTCTCAAACCGTAGTGAAACCAAAACCAAATCAAGCCAAAGTAATTGGCCGATTGCTTTCGACACTCAGTCGAAAACCATCCTAAATAGCTTGAGTAAACAGATCAGTTTGCACACTCAATAATATTCTTCTTTCACTCAGAAACATTTGATCTGAAATCTCAGAGATCTTACAAGCAGGAATAAAATAGAACAGACAATTTACTTTTTACTTTGGCTGCAAAATTGTGTGTATTATTAGTGAGGATATTTCCAATGGTGAAATCTTATACATCAATTAAATTTATTAATAAAAAATATATTATGTATAAAAAATCTTACTGCCATGTATAGTCATTAATTTAAGAATAAATTATCCACATTTCATGACCTTGACTTAATTGATTATTCATAAATTACAAAATTGGCAGAAACATACAGTATGTGCATGTAGTCTGCATGCTATGTTCTGCATTACATGCATCATTAAATTCAGACCTTTGAGGTACAGTTGTACATAATGTTAGTTCAGAGACTTTTGTGGTACATCAGTTGAAAATATACGATAGCTACACTGTACTTACATGTGGTTAAAATCGTTATTCTCATCATGACCTGTCATACAAATTATGTGTTTTTAATAAAAGGAGAAATTATAGGTTAACTTAATAGGTGTTTAATACATGTAAGATAAATAATTAAGAAATAGAAAACATGTACTGTGTTTCTATCAAGTTATAGAAACACGAGTGGAAGTTTGGGAGAACGAGAAATGGTGTGGCAGCTTTTTCGAGTTCTCCCAAACTTTCACGAAATGTAAATTCTCTTTGCGCCATCATTACATCAACAGTTCATGCTAGTTCTGTGTTTCTTTTGAGTTATAGAAACACAATTTTTAACCAATCAGCGCACGTACTTTCTTAGGGCTGTTTTCTAATCTAAATTAATAGCATGGTTCAGCAGGTTTTTTTCACTTTTCTGCATTGTCTTCCTTCTTTGATCCAAGGATGGATAAGAGAGTTTACACATCAGGAGAAACAGCTTCCCTTCATGTTGATGTCAAGAACAACTCTAATGTAGATATTGACTCTTTTATTGTTAAGGTAGGTATGACAGTCTAAGTCAGATGTCAAACCAGTAAAGGTAACAAGGATTTACATGTATTTATGTTCCTTAAGGTACCTCATGAAATTTGAACTCTGGTTAATGCAGTGTAATATATACAGTGGCAGATCTAGGGTAGGGGTCTGGGGAGGCCCCCCCCCCCCCTTGTTTTGGATAAAAAAAGAATAAATCACAGAAAGAAGAAAAGCCAGCAGGGCAAGCAAAATAAAACTGCCCCCCCTCCCCCCCGCCCCCTAGCTCAAGGTCTGGATCCGTCACTGATATAGATTTAGCCAGGCCTAAAAGTGGAGCTCCTGGGCGGGGTTGTTCAAAGCCCGATCAGTAAGCTAACCCAGGATAAGTGAGAATTTTGATTGGAGTTTTGTAACATTGTGGTGGGGTTTTCTGTTTATATTGTTTGGCTTCCTGTGTCAAGTTTCATAAATCTCAAACTATACAAAGCAAAAGCAGTGAAAAACATTTGTATACCTCCCGAACAACCCAGCCCTGACTGACAAGTTAACCTGACATGAGCCTGTGATCAAACCTAAAACCAGTACTTAGTCAGCAGTCAACTTTAAAAAAACAAGTGACCTTGATGCGTTCTAAACCTGAGCCTGCGATATGGCCATGTGATACTGGTCAGCAGATACCTTGTTTTGACAGCTGTCAATTAACTATAATATGGATGACCAATATCAAGTATGGCTGCCATGTTGTGCAACGTTGTCATCGTTGGGTACACGTGCCCACGATCCATGTCGCTAGCCATGTTGAACATGAAAAAAGAGTTGCATGGTTTTCTATTTCTATGTACAGTATGCATATAGTCCTTTTCCTATAGTTATGGGGCTCGGCTTGGCAGTCCTTCAGGCTTTTTTCCGGAGCTCCGCTAAAAACTGATCATTCCACACAACTGTACATAATGTTGAATTATTAGTCAAAAAAAGTTTGAAGTTAAGGCTTGGTTAATTTCTTAATCTGGAAAAACTCTTCTTGGTTAATACTGATTTTATTTGGTTGCAGATGTAATTGTTTTTTCTATGGTTACACAGACATACATAATGCTCTTCACACCTAAGTGGCACATAATGCCATCACCAATTCAGTTTAACACTGTCTGTCAGCTGCCCATTGTTTGATCTAAGTCCAAGTCCATCCAGCCCTATCAGTTCTTTTTCCACTGATCTTCTCATTCTATGGTTATTCTAGCATTAAATTTGTTGTGCCTGTGAATCATGTCTTTCTCAGCTCATTAGAGTGGTAAACCTTAAACCTCAAGAAAAAGACCTTTCATTGTCAGTAAGCAGTCAGGAAGAGAGACAGCCTGTGGGAACAAGGATTCCATGTGTTGTGGACAGTGTCAAGGAGAGGTCACTTGATGGTTGTGAAGGCAACCAGCTACGAAACATGTAGGTTGTGCTTTGTCTTGTTGAGGACATCTGATATCTTTAGATTATTAACTTTTTAGTATGGAACTAGTATACCCCTAGAGCCCATACATTTTTGGTGAACAGTGACTGGACATGCAACTCTCTGGGCAAAATCAAAAGCCAGAACCAGAAAATTCTTGTTCTAGTTTAATTGTGCACTTGGGTTGATGTTCAGTGACAGTTTCTGAACGAACATAGAGAAAGTAACTGCCATTAATTATGATAGCTTGCCTTCTGTTTTGTCCCAGAGGTCTCGATTTCTTGGTACTAACCAAAAGGATCATGGCCTCTGGGAATGAGACTGATATAGGTGAAATTGGTTTCAATCCTGAAGTCAGGAGGAGTCAGATTGCTTATTGGTGCTAGTGCTTAATGCTCATCACTGAGGCATGAAATGATGATGAGTAATGCTACTTTCCTAGATGGAATGCTGGTCCATGGCATTTGACTCGCAGCAGATCTTCCTGCCTAGCAGTTGATTGATACCCACAATCAACACAGTGACCCTGGCCACTGTGTAGCTCTCGACAGTTGAATCCAGCATCAATGTACTAACCATTTTGCCACCATTGAATCTGCCATTCCTTAATTTAAATAAAAAATAAAGCCTGCTAAGTCCAACTGGTTCACAGCTCTCGGTGTTTAGCTCCTGTTTCTGTAGTATGAAGCTGCTAGGAGTATTTCTACTCCCCCCTGAATGGTATGCTAGTCCATCTGGCAGAGTTACCTCCCAGAATTCTGTCAGGTTGCCCCAAAAAATTAACCAATACCCATTTGTAATTCTGAATGGAGAGAGATACTGTGAGAGTAAAGTGTCCCAAGAACATAACACAGTGACCCAAGAAACATGCTTGAGTCCAGTGCACTAACCATTAGGTCACCTTGCCTCCTACATCCCATAATTTGAGTACTGATCAATGTAACTAATCTACCTTCAGGGAAATACCCCTTGACCTGTTTGAGGAGACTTCACGGGAAGAACTTCAACCTTCTACTAATGGCCAAGTTGCAAAGGTAATCCTGCAAAGTTTGCGTCAGGCCTGTCAGTCAATAACTCAACCCATCTGTCCATTAGGCAGACAAACAGACAGGCATTTGGTTGGTCACTGTGTCAGTCTGTTTCTGAGTCATTCAGATACTGACTCAGTGCTGTAAGCTTTGGTCCAACAGTCAGTCAATCAGTCTTTTTGACATTCACTTTGTCAGGAATCAAGTCATGCAGACAGACATAGAGTTTATCACTGCTATTCAGTTTACCTACACATTGTCAGCCATTGCTAATTCAGTCAGTTTTTTTTGTTATTTCAGTGTAAGTACCATGTAGATGTTGAGATAGACATCAAGTGGGCACTTCCCATCTCTGTTCAATTACCAATAACTTTGAGATCACCACCCAACCAATCAGTAAGTAATGCAGTTGATTGCCTCATAATAATTTGTTGGCAGTCAATTATTGATTCATGTTCAAGCATACATCATCAAGTTATGATGCACACAGAAAGTTTAGAGAGCACAAAAGAAGGGTATGACTTGCTTGAAGCAAAGTCAAGGGCAACAACTCTAGCTTGTTGAGTGCTCTCCAAGCTTCCCAAGTCCATCATGACTTGATAATGCACAGCTAAAAGCTTGAATCAATTGTTTTATAATAGTGCCAAAAGAAATAAAATAATGTACAATGACAGCCACCTACAAGTGTGAGAAAAATTCCTCTTCCAAAGCAAGTTATTTCCTCATGCCATGAGTGTGTGTTTGTGCACTGAGTTTGATAGGTTTTGCTCGCTATGTTATAAACTTTAAGGTGAGGTGCATTATTTCATGTTTCTCTGATTTCTTTTGCTTGATCATTGATGTGTCTTGGAGTAATACCAACCCCTGGATAGGATGTGAAGCCATCCCAGATCACCTTCCCCAGTCTGGTGCACATATGTACATCTGTTCAAAGCTAATTTGAATCCTTGTCATTCTTTGCTTTTGGTTGGATGAAGATGTACTGCAAACATACATGAGGGTTAATCATGCTGTCACACTAACCGATGATGTGTTAAATTTATGGGTTATTGACCAAGCTTGTTCCATCAAGATGGTTGGATACTGACCAAGATCTTTTTTTGCAAGTTTATGGACTGAGATGCAGTCAAAGTCCATCAGCAAGCAAAAAAAAAAAAAGAAAAAAAGTTGATAGAGTCCAAAGAAAGAATCCAGCCATGCATCTTGATTCACCTTGATTAAACAAGCTTGGTCAATCAAGGATTTATTGTAGCAGAGCCCCATACTCATATAGGGAAGAAAAGGAAACCCTTGAGTTAATTTTCTCATGGTTATCATGGCTAGCAGCATTGCTTGTGGGTGCGTACGCATGACGGCGACAACAACGACGGAGTCATGCAACATCGCAGCCATACTCCAAATAATAGGTTGACAGATACATGGAGCGTTGGTTTACCGTGTACTTCTTTGATATTGGACATCCATGTTATGATCAATTGACACCTGTCACAACAAGGTATCTGCTGACCAGTATCACGTGACCATATTATGGGCTCAAGTTTAGAGCTCATCGAGGTTATGTGTTTTTTGAAGTTGACCGCTGACCAAGTGCTGGTTTTCAATTGGATCACGGGCTCATGTCAGGTTCACTTGTTGAAAACAGGGCAGCCGATTGTTCGGAAGCTGGTTAGCGCTAACCCAGGCTTAAAAGTTAACCAAATCAGAACTTTTTCTTCTATACAAATGTTTTTTGCTGCTTTGTTTTGTATATAGTGATTACTAAAACTCAAAACAGAATGCAAACAATATACAGAGAACTTCACCGGAAAGTTACAAAACTCAAATCAAAATTCTACCTTTTCCTGGGCTAGCTTAATCAAGCTCTGAACAACCTGGCCCAGGAGCTACACTTTGGGGCTGGCCTAAATTTATATATTATGACATACAGAACAGTCAATGTAGCTTTGTCTTACCCAGTTTTAGGTAGCCAATCATACAGTAGCACAGGGTTTGGTTCATCCTGCCCACTTGTGGAACAGACCATGATATTAAAATGAAATAATCTGCATAAAACAGTGAGGGGCATGGGATATTCCATTTCTAGCCTCAAGAAGGGGGTATAACTGAACATGCACATGTACTATAATGCCAAATGGCAAGCATTCTAATGCCAATGGTAACTCCATCTGGGGAAAATTGCAGATCAAGGAAGAGATTAAAACTGTACGTCTTTATTTAGCATGCCTAAATTTTAATGACATTTCTCTTCCAGTGGATTGATTGGGAGCCACCTCCATGGGTGTACAATTGCAGAGTCATAAAGATCACTGGTCCCTGTGCTGTCCCAGAGCATTTATTAGGTTTGTAAAGACAAACAAAGCCTATCATTTAGAGCAGTTTTCAATTGAGTGTCATCAGTCATCGGATAATTACTTTGGTTTTGGCTTTATGACACTCAATTGCAACCCTCTCTATCCATTGTAATCTTAACATTATAAACACTCTACTAAATTAAAATCGTACCATCAAAAATAATGGTCTGATTAGTATCAACAGAATGTCTTGATGACCTTAGACCACACAAATAGAGGCTGATGATGTTATGGTTTGAGTTTATTTGCTTTTTGCCCTTTGTTGTTTTGTTAAATATTTGTTTTCTTGCTGTCTTCCAGGTTCCAAATCGTTTGTCAATATCCCTGGAATTCAAGCAGACCCTTTCTGAATAAAACATGACATGCACGGCCAAATTCTGTGAAAGGAGAGTTTAGAACAATTTGAACTGTTTAAGCTTGTTGCTGTGGCTACTATGTTGTGTCTTAGTCTAGCTGTTGTCTTGATTACATTGTGGTGAAAGATTGCTTATTATAATAAGTAGTCATTGATTTGGGAGGGGGGGATTGTAAAATAAACTTTATGAAAATTATGGGAAGGTTATCATTCTTTCCTGTGACTGCTGGATAGAATTAATAGTCAATGAAATCAAGAGAAATTGTGCAGTGCTTTACACAATTTTATTATATCAAAATGTTTTTAGTGATTATAAAAGAATTATTTAAGCAACAGTCAGAATCATGGGAAAAAAAGCCCTTCAAAGCTAGGTTTTTAAAATTATTAGAATATAAGTATTATTACTGGTAGTTAGAAAAAATTGTAAGAGGTCAAGGCTATAATTATTTTATGGGAAAATAATCTGTTAATAAACAAACATGACAGAATTTGTATGACCAGCATACAAATTCAAATATTTTAAAGTATATTTTATTGTGTAATGTAGTCATTTTGTAATATAAAAAACAATCA